TGGTTGAGAGAAGGTGTTACTTGAGATACTGCTAGTGAGTACTGATGTTCACAACCAAAATGTTGACATAAAAACGGTTCCTAGATGTCAGACTCCTACAAGGCTCACATATGATAATATCACCTTGAAGCGAGACTTGAACCCAGGAAGGGTACAGCCAGAGTAAACCTGGTGAAATTTTAAGTTTATTTTCCAGCTGTGTTGGAATTGCTATAGCAAAATATGTCTATGGTTACCACAGAAATGTCCAGCAAAAACAAAAAACAAAAAAACAAAACCTTTTTCCCTCTTCAATTACTTATTATGATTAGCTATTTCTTTAAGTCAAATGTCATTAGCAAGATGTTTATTTATATGCCTTTATAGAAGCATTATCTTTTTTAGCTAAGCTGTTGTCATATTTCCAAAGATTGTGGTAATACCAGTGCATACCTTAAAAACATTAGACCATATATACACAATGGAATATTATACTGCCTTACAAAAGGAGGAATCCTCTCCTTTTGATAACATGGATGAACCTGGAGGACATTATGTTAAATGAAATAAGCCAGACAGACAAATATGGCATGATCTCACACGTGGCATCTTAAAAAGTTGAACACGTATAAATTGAGAGTAGAATTGTGGTTACCAGGGACTGGGGGTGGGGTTTTAGAGAGATATTGGTAAAAGGCTACACAATTTCAGTTAGATACGAGGAAAAAGTTTAAGAGACGTAATGTACGATAACTAGAATACAGTTATGCATTGCTTGACGGTGGGGATACATTCTGGGAAATGCTTCATAATGTGATTTTGTCATTGTGGGAACATCATCGAGTGTACTTATGTAAACCTAGATAGTATATAGTTAAAAAAAGAAAAAAAGGCTGAGCACTGTGGCTCACGCCTGTAATCCCAGCACTTTAGGATGCTGAGGTAGGTGGATCACAAGGTCAGGAGTTCAAGACCAGCCAGGCCAAGATGGTGAATCCCTGTCTGTACTAAAAACTACATAAATTAGCTGGGCGTGGTGGCAGGCACCTGTTATCCCAGCTACTCGGGAGACTGAGGCAGGAGAATCGCTTGAACCCAGGCAGCAGAGGTTGCAGTTAGCCAAGATTGTACCCCACTACACTCCAGCCTGGGTGACAGAGTGAAACTCTGTCTCAAAAAAGAAAAAAAAGGGGGAGATGATAATCTTATGGGACAACTGTCATCTATGTGGTCCCTTCAGCGAACGCCTGGCCCCCGACTCCCAGGGCACTTCCCAGACAGCCAGTGGCACATCCCAGGCAACCCCTGCTCTGCCCTTGAGGTCTGTGCCTGGCAGAAGGCCGGCTGATCCTTGACCCGTCTTGGCCTGGGTCCCAGCTCTCCCTGACCCTGGGACCAGCAGACACACCCCACCCTGCGCCTGGCAGGCTGACCATGCTTGTGCCCATTGGTGATGGTGGGTTGGGAGGGAACTGTTCCAGATACCAATGTAAATCTGTGTCTGCATCAATTGCACACAAGAGTTCAGTCATCATATGGGAAGGGAATCATAGCTGTGGGGGGCTCCATGCAGGACCCCGAGGGCCCCTGAGGCCAGTCCCTGTGGCCACAGCTAGGAGCATCTGCTTCTGCCAGTTGGACAAGACTGTTTCTTGCCCAGAAACTGGCAGAGAGACTTCCCCTGCTCCCCACCCACTGTTGTATCCCAGACACACCCGTGTGGATGGACACCTCGACATCTCCCCTCAGCCCAGGGCCCGAGCTCTTCCTGATGAGGGTTAAGCAGGAGCGGCCGCCTCTCCCCGTGTCCATGTTGCAGGCAGCTGCCTTCTCCTCAGCTCCCACGGCGCAGAACAAGAGCCAGCCAGCCCTTTCCATCCCAGGATTTTCCAGGGATGCTGATAACTAAGCAGGCGGGGCCTTGTGAGTGGATGGTGGGAGGGATCAGGGCTTCCTCAACATCCGTCAGTCCCTGGAGCATCTGAAGGGGCAGCCTACACCTGGAGGAATGAGTGGGACTGGCCCCCGTGGGTCCCCAGTGCCTAGCATCTCCCGGTCCCTCTGCTCTCCCTCACAGACCCCCTCCACTGAGCAGCACAGCCCTGAGGACAGTGGCAGCAGCCCGGAGAGCATTTCCAACACAACTATATTTATTTATATTTACACAGGAGACCCCCAAGGTGTTGCTCCCCACCTCCTACCCCCTCCCCCTAGGCCCTCCCTTCCCATTCAGCCACCCTCTTCCTCCCCCACTCTCTCCCTCCCCTCCCTCCCCCACCCTCCAAAGCTAATGCCCAGCAAGATCAGCACTGGGGGAGAAGTCTTTGCTTTGGGGTCACCCGGTGCCGTGAAGGTCCGAGAGTTAAGAGCCCCACCCTTGAGGATTGGCACCAGAGAGCCTGCCCTGTCCCCCTACTGGCTGCGGTGCTGCTTTTTCTTCCTCTTAGACAGTAAGGGATCACCCTTTCGCTTTTGAGACTGTGAGGGGCCACCCAGCCCCCAAGCCAGGGATTGCGCCCCAGAGACTCTGAGCCCAGGCCCTAGGTGGGGCATCTGTTCAGCAGGGGATGGGCCTCCGAAGAGAGCTCGCTTCTTGGACTTGGTGGCAGGAGTGGGTGCTGGGCTGAGGCCTCTTCTCTTTGCAGATTGGGACTGAAGAGCTCCCTGGGGTCCCCGCCCTTCTGGGCTGAGAAGGCCCGAGGCAGAGACAGGGCTCTGGGACAGCTTCCAGGGCCGCAGCCTGTAGTTGGTACCCACGACAGTAACCATACCAGGGATTTCCCTCTCCTCCTCACTTGACCCCTTAGACAGCCTGGGTGACTCCTTCACAGGAGAGGCTCCAGGGAGACCCCAGGTGTCCTTGGTCCCCACCCCTGGGCAGGCGGGTCTGTGGTCCTGGGGAGGAGTGTTTGGCCGGGCAGATCTCAGCCTGCGGGAATCCAGTCTCTCCAAAAGCACCACAGGGTTTTTGGACCTGGCCATCCCAGTGCACACTCTGCCTTGTCCCTGAGGGTCCCGGGAGGCCATCTGGGGGGTGGGTCTATGGTCCTGGGGAGGAGAGTTTGGCTGGGCAGCCCTCAGCCTGCGGGAATCCACACTTTCCAAAAGCATAACAGGGTTTTTGGCCCTGGCCATGCCAGTGCGTGCTCTGCCTCGTCCCTGAGGGTCCCAGGCAGCCATCTGGGGTGGGCAGGTTTCCATGCTGACCCCTTGCTGGGGTCCAGGGACATCTCTCTCTGCTCCTTGGCCCACTGCAGACTTAGAAGAGATTGAGTCCAAGCGAGCGGTGCCATGACTAGGGTCTGCCCTCGCACATCGTTCCTCCTTCAACGATAGGAGGCGCTTCTCCGCTACCTGCGGGAGGAAAGGGGGCACTTACTGGCACTGCCCCAAGTGTGAGCAGGGCCCAGGGTGGTGGAGACCAGGGCACTTGGGCGGCAGGCAGGGAAGCCTGAGGTAGCTGGGCTTCCTGTCAAAGAGAGGGTGTGGCTCTGCCGGGCATCCCACTGGGCCTCACTGCAGTTTGCATCCTGACTCCCCTCCTGGCTTCTCTCCATCCTGCTCCATCTGAACCTGCACCTCCCCACCTCGGAGTGGCTCCCCAAGAAGCCGAGCATCCCCCACAGGGTGGGGTAGACAATCAGGTGGGGCTTGTGTGCTGGGTCCCTCCTGCCCCCAGGGTACCTGGGTTGCCCTCCCTCCCTGCTCTACCTGGGCAAGGGTGAGTCCTTCCTCCTGCTCCAGCTCCTGGCTTAGGGCCAAGAAATCCATGTGTGGATCTGGGGAAAGCAATTCTTCCAGGAATCGGGGGTGGATGACGGCTTCCACCTGGAAACAGGAGGAAGACGGCGTGAGGTTCCCGGGCAGGGAGTAACCTGGAGCCAAGGACACCTGGAGGAGATGCAGAAAGCAGCGAGCGCCCCGTCCCCACCCTTCTGGAGCTGTCTTATACCATGGCGACCACCAGCTCCACACACAGACCACAGACCTAGTAGCATCCACACATGCAGACAGAGACACACAAACCACACACAGACACACAAACAGACCCACATACGACACAAGAAAATACACAGACACAAGTAACATACACACACCACACTCACACCCACATAGACACATAGTAACAAATCACAGAGACAAACACAGACACACAATCACATACACAGACACTCAAATCCACGGAAACACACACATCCACCTCCTACGGAGTAGCTAAGGAACAGAGCTTAATTCCAAGGACCTGCGAGTGTCACGCCCCAGAATCCTGCAGACCTCAGCACTTGAGGCCAGCCCACCTTGGTGACGAAGTCTTTCTGGGAACACAGATTGTCAGTGTAGCTCAGGAGGTCGGGGTCTGAAAGCATCCCGTCCTCTTCCTGCTCCACTTCGCCCTCTTCCCTTTGTCCTGTGAGCTGCTCTGTGGCCCCATCGGGAGGCCCCAGCAGCTCTTCCATGATGTCCACATACTCCTGCACCACTTCAGGGGGTATCTCCTCGGGGGCCTTGGTCTCTGCTGGCTGCTGGGGCCTGGGTGGTGGCAGGTGGGCCTTTCTCTCCGCTGGCCGCTTGGGCCTGGGTGGTGGCAGGCAGGCAGGCGGGGCCTTGGGGCCGGCCTTGCTGGGAAGGTACACTGAGGCAGGGAGGGAGGAGGACAGGTGTGGTGAGGGCTGCTCCTCCTGCCTGCACCACACAGGGGAGGGCAGGGCTTGGGGACGTGAACTGGGTCCCAGCTGGGTCAGGAGCACCTGAACCACAGTGCCCCAGAGGAGACGCCGCAGGAGGGGCACATCTAACAGCATCCTTTGGGAGGAAGTTTGGAGCCACAGATAAGCTGAGTGCTCTACCCGCTCATCCCTGTTCCTGGGCGGACTGTATGTTGACTTTTGGAATGGGGAGGGGAGAGTAGCTAGGAAACGTGACCAGGTGAATACCCACTTCATGACCATGGGCCGCCCAGCTCCCCGAGTCCCCTGAGCTGTCTTGTTGGAAGGAACAAATCCCTCTCTTGAAGGGAGGCATGGGGTGTGGGGACAGTGGCCTCCCTTGGCCCTTCTGGGCTTTGCTGTGGCTCCTGTGGGAATGTGGGAAGCCGTACCTGGCTGCTTGACCACCTCAGGGGCTGATGGTCCTTGAGGTTCGAGCCTCGGCGGGGCTGGAGGAGGCAGGCACTGGGGCCCCTTCATCCACTGCAACTTCTGAATCTGCATCTCCTCCTCAGCCTCAAACTCCAGGAACCTGGGGCGAAGAAGGTGCAGGCCATGCTGAGAGGGTCCAGGCCCCCTGCCCCCAGGACCAGGCAGCAGCCAATGGCAGGAATGGGAAGGAGTGCCTCGGGCGGGCTGTCCAGGCCCTCCCTAGGGCCCATCCCCCAGTCCCAGGAGGGAGCTCCTCCCAGAGTTCTGGGCTCACTGCCCCTCACCGGGCCCCTGCAGAGCCCATGGCATCAACAGGACTTCCTGACTCAAGTCAGGGCCACGGGGCCCAGGAGCGCACCAGGGGGACCCCTCCTCCAGGCTTCAGCTGGTCAGGGGTGGGGTTTATGGCAGAAGGCGTCAGGAATGTTGCCCAGATGCCGGAGTCCTGAGGTTGGGACTGTGGGTCTCTGAAGGATAACCCAGGAGCACCAGACCTGGGAGACCCCTGGTGGGGAGGAAGCAAAACCTGGGCCCCGAAGACAGGCCCCTTTCCCCTGAGGCTGCTGTCTGTCTGTCTTAACAGAGGGGACTGTGAGGAGCAAAGGCAGGCAGGCCAGAGATGGGTCTCATGGTGTCCTGGACGCAGGTCTCCCCTGACCCAACGCAGGTTTCTCCAATCCTGGCCAGGCCGGGATGGGTGAAAACTGACTTCTGTCCACTGCTGTGAGAAGAGTGCACCCCACTCTGTCTATAGTCGCCAGCGCCCCTTCTCCCCATCCCCACAGCTGGAGGTGACCACCTTTGGGCTGTGATGCTGGCTGCTCCCTCCATGACCCCCAGCGTCAGGCAGAGGTTGTCCCCAGGCCAGGCAGGGCGTGGTTTTCCACCAGGGCAGGATAGAGACCCCAGAGCACTCTAGGAGGGAGGAACAGCTTCCTGAGGGAGCCAGGGGCCCAGGGAGGGCCTGTTTGTCCACACCCTCCTCATGCTCCACACTGAGAAGCCACCATGGCCACCAGGCCTCTGTCACCCTCTCTCACGCTGCCATGCAGGCTCTGCCCCTGCACCCCAGACTCACTTTCCCGCCATCTCATAGTAGTTCATCCGGTCAAAGTTGCTCGTGTGCTGCCATTCCTGCATGGCCCGCCACAGTCCCTCCTCCAGGGTCATGCTGGGCTTCCGCCGGGCCAGGGATCGGAGAACTGGGCTGTAAAGCGGTACAGTCAGTCCCAGTCCACGAGCCCATCCTCCATCCCAAGCCCACCTGGTCCCAACACCCGGCCCCTGTCCTCCCCACATGTGTCCTGCCATGTGTCCCTGTGCTGTTTTCCCCTACGTGGGCTCCTCAGCCTCCAGGACACGCCCCCAATATCAAACATCAACACAAGCCAGCAGGTGGCCTCTCCGACTGCCCCTCGAGTCCTCAGTGTTGACAAATGAACTCAGTACTTTGGGTGGAATGTGTGTGTCCCCAGCATTCCTGTGCTGAAGCCCTCAGCCCCAGTGTGTCAGTTCTTGGAGTCAATCAGGGTTAGAGCAGGTCATGTGGGTGGGTTCCTGTCATGGCATCTGAGCCCTGATAAGGGCAGGAGGAGACACCAGGGCTCTCCCTCTCAGCCTGGGACTTCCAGCCTCTGGAGCTGGGAGACGTGAATGTGTCCTGATAAAGCACCCAGTCTATAGGATTTGTTATGGCAGAGCCCGATCTGACTGAGACAGCGCGCACACAGAATGACCGGGGAGCAAGGGTTAACATGCAGGTTCTAGGGCCCCAGGACTAACCATTTAACCAGCTTTCTGGGGACTCTGGAGCAAGGCAGCCCCTGGGGATGCAGCCTCAGGGTCTTGGAAACCAGAACCAAAGCAGAGCAGTGTCCAAGCCCACTGCACTCCAAGCCTGTGAGCCTGGGGCGGCTCCACTCTGAGAATCAGGGTCCCCAGTGCATTGGGACTCAGCTCCAAGGGAGAAGGCAACCAGTGCCAGGATGCAGGGGTGGCAAGATTTTTGGGAACAAAGATGGCGTCACCTTACACCTACAGCCTGGGCAGGGGACTTGCGGGGGGAAGTGGCCAGGGTGTTGCCTGATGGATGTGCTCAAGCTCCCATGGAGTACGGGTTTGCTCATCAGAGGGGAACACAGGGTCACAGAGGCACCGCAGGATGGAGAGAGGCAGGACTGGGACTGAATCCACAAACTCTCCCAGATGCTGGCATTGCTGCCTCAGTCACCACAGTCCACATGGCCCTGGGCTGCTGGGCTCGTGGTGCACTCAGAGCCATCATTGGAGCCCGTGGCTTTGGGGAGCGCTGTCCTAGATGGCCTAGTCCTGATAATGATAGCAATAGGGACAGTAATCATAACTGCTGTCATGTAATGTGTCACAGCATGTGCCGGACACTGCTATATGTGTCATAAGTGAGCTCAAGTCACCTCTTCACCATCCTCTGGATGAAGCATCGTCGTCCCTTTTTCTAGAAGGGATCGAGGGCAAAGCTGCAAATACGTGCCCAGCATGGACCCCAGTGCGGGGCCCGAGACCATCCCCTGTGCAGGCTCCACCACCGCTGTGCCAGCTGGACCTCGGCAGAGCAGTGGGCATGTGCCAGGTTCCTGCAGCTCCCACCCCCAGCCCATGTGCTGTGCCCTTGGCCTTCGCCACTCAGGTCAAGGGGAGGCACTGGGGCACACTCAAGTCCTAAACCCAACCCGTGGCTCATGTCGGACCGGGAACCCTCTCTGACGTGGGTCTTCTGTAAACACTGTCATGAAAATGACTGAAAGTAAGGATTGGCTGCACTCACAGGACAGTGAGGGGCAGGTGACATGAGGCCCCTGAGAGTCTGTCCTGAGTGGCAGCCAGATTAGTGTTGCTGAAAATGTGCCCTTCCATAGCTCAACCCATCGCCTTCAAGCTCCCCTGAACAGCGTGACCTCCTGTCCATTGAGCAGCCTCTTTACGGGTGAGCTGTGGGACGAGCTCCGGTGCCCCGAGGACACTCACATGAAGAAGCAGGAAAGCGCTTCCGTGTCCGGACTCTGGGGAAGGTGCCTCCGGGCCAGGGGCTTGTAGCGCTGCCAGAGTCGGAAGTTCTCATACACGCTCTTGGGGTTGCAGGAGTCGTCCGGCGGGGCCTTGGCCTGGGAGGGAGCCAGGCTGCCCTCTCCATGAGCCCCTTGTGGCCATGGCCCAGCATTCCCTGGAGCCATCATGGGGGCCAGCTGGGGAGCCGGTGGTGCTGAAGGAGGAAGGCCCTGGGACCAGCCTCCCTCGCAGGCCTGGGTGCCCCCAAAGACCTGGGCAGCCATAGCGGGCACCACAGGGGCAGCTGCCATGGGTCGGGGAGGTGGACATGCAACGCCCTTGAAGAGGGTGCCTGGAGCCTGCCAGACGAGGGGGGCCTGAGTTAGGACCAAGGTCGGTGCCTGAGGAGCCTTCACAGGCCCCACTTCTGTCCTCATCTGGACAAGGATGTTGGAAGCCCCAACCCAATTTGGGCCTCGTCCATCCTGTCCTGCCACCAGAGGGGTCCTGGGGAAGGCAGACAGCACCAGAGGGCCACCTGGAGGAACCACTACAGTCACGAGGGGCAGCCCGTGTGCTGGGCCGGGAGCAGGTGTGGCGAAGGGCAGAGCCATGAACACTGGCATGGAGGCGCCAGGGTTCTTGGTCACACCCGGTTCCAGCACTGGGCATGCTGTGGAGACAAAGGAAAGAGGTGAATGAGCTGGGGTCTGCAGGTCTGCAGTAGTCACTGGGAATCAGAGGGGTGTTCCAACACCTCAGGGTGTGTGACAGGGAAACTGCAGCTTGCAAGTGTCCCTGTGTGTGCATCGGATGCTCTGTTCCTCCACGGGAGGGTCGCCTCACTAGAGAGCCTGGCCCTGGCTCCTCTAGACTCCCTGACCCCTGTCTGCCAAGAAGCAACAGCCAAGCCTTCGCTGCCTCTGAGGGTCTCCCTCGGGCGTCCCTGGAAGACCTGCCAGCCTTACAGGCATCTCCCAAGCCATGGGTCAGGAATGAATCTCTTGCTGGCTTGGAGGCCCTCAGCATGCTCAGCAGTAGGTGAGGAGCCTCCCCCAGGGCAGTGCTCTGCACTCAGAAGGCCTCCAGGAAGCCAGAAGTTTCCTAATATTATGGCCCTATCTCCTCTTCAATCTTCCTTTTCCTGAAGCTCTTGTAAACCCCTTTCTTTCCTAACTCAAACAACAAAAGAAAGCCACTGGATAGACTGGGCATGGTGGTTCATGCCTGTAATCCCAGCACTTTGGGAGGCTGAGGTGGGCGGATCACCTGACGTCAGGAGTTCAAGACCAGCTTGGTCAACATGGTGAAACCATGTCTTTACTAAAATACAAAACTCAGCTGCGTGTGGTGACGCACGCCTGTAATCCCAGCTACTCAGGAGGCTGAGGCAGGAGTATTGCTTAAACCAGAAGGCAGAGACAGCAGTGAGCCAAGATTGCACCACTGCATTCTAGCCTGGGTGACAGAGGGAGAATCTGTCTCAAAAAAGAAACAATGAAAGAAAACCACTGGATGGAAATCTCTCCCAAGCCAGCACCCTGTGAACCCTGAAGATAACCTATAATGCATCACTCCCAGCCTGCAAGTGATTGCCCTGGCACCACACACAGCTAGTGCTAAACAGGGCTCAGATTTGGGCCACCCTTTCCTTCCTGAGCCACTCAGGAAGCTCTGTTCCCAGGGAGCAGGTCTGAGAAGCAGTGGTGGAGTTCCCTGAGATACTGTCATTGCTCAGCCAGCAACAGCGGCACAGGATTAGAGCACAGCCAGCCAGCGGTGAGCAGTGGGGCTGTCAGGGGAGGTGTCGGGGGATTTTCACAGCTCCTGGTCATGTTACAGTAGGTCGTGGGACAGTGAGCCCATCTCTGGTCCTTTTCCTTTGAGTTCCCAGTAACTGAATATAGTGACCAACCAAGAACCAGAGGTTCTTGGGCCATGGTCCAGGTGGGCAAAGTTGTCTGGACTCATCCCTGTTCACTAGGACCTCATGCAGTCTCCAGTCAAGGGGGATAGGGATACAGCACGTGCACCTCATCAGTCAGGACACACACCCTAACTTGAATAATAATAATAAGAGGACCATCTTCCTATATGTGTGCTACTCTCCTTCCTCTACTGAAAAGGAAACCATCTTTCCAGACCATTCCAATGAGAAACAGCAAGAGTCCACACCTGTCCCCTGTTCATGAGGTAGTGGACATGGAATAGAAACAAATCCTTCATCTCCACAGTAATACAAAGTGCAGAGGACAGGCCATGAGCTAGCAGACAAGAGGAAGTGGGTCTGAAGACCTGAGCTTCCGCAAAAGGACGAACAATTCAGAACAACCTGGGAAGCCCAGGCCGTGTTGCCTGAACTTCCCCAACTGCCCCCACCCCTGTTAAATCAGAGCCAACAGCCACCTGAACTGACAGAGAAGCCACCTCTGGGGAGGGAGCTGAGAGGCTGCGGCAGTTACAGTACCCCCAGCCTCGCCCACCCAGAGGCTGTCACTGCAGGTTCTGTCACAGCCAACACACCCAACAGCTTTCTGGCTGAGACCACTTCTCCCCACTCCTCCCTAAGATCCAGAAAATTCCAGTCCAAATCCCTCTGAACACTATGGAAGGACACCTTCCAGGATCCTGAAGATACAACACAAGGCTCAGGCTTCCCTGTCATCCTCTCTGGGCCACCAGCACAACAGGATCCCACCACTCCCTACAAACACACGGTGACGTGACCTGTCCCTCTCTAGAAAGAATCAATACATCCACCCCATCCTTTCCCCTACACGGTGTATTCCCCCAGGCATCTTGGTCCACCTCTAAGGAGCTGTCCTCCCTAACCACAGACTCAGGGTGCCATGGCCCTCCCCAGGTGTGATGTCTTTGGGGACATCCAGTGCTCCCTCCCTCCCTCAACATCAGCGCTATCAACTGTCTCCTGGGGCAGTGTCAAATTTGAATTCCCAAGGATTTGAAACATGGCAGAGAACTGGATAATGCCCCTGTCCCTACAGACTCACCTCCATTTGAAGCCATCCCCTTAGGCTGGGTGCTGATCACCGCTGACAGTTTCCACAATGAGAAAAGTCAAGGGCAGGACCCAGAGAGTGACCTGCCTCAACAGATTCTCCTGAGTTCAGGTAGGTCAGGGAAAATTTGAAAATAAATAGGTTTAGAACATAGGACCCTAGACATTCTGCAGAGGGGGAGGGGCAGTGTAGCAGGTACTGGTAGGGGTGGGGGACATTCTGTGAAGGGCTCCAGCCAATAGGCAAGAACTGAGGTTCATTTCCAGCTGGACGGCAGCAGCACAGACGGCGTGCGCCTCTTCAGGCAACTTTTAAATTGTCCTTTTGACTCACAGCACAAAGCTTCAAACTGATGTCCCCTTTACTTCCATTCTTTGTCGACAGACCTACTTTTGTGCCCCTCAACCCATGCTCCTTCCCATTTGGGCTTTTTCCTGCTCTTGATGAATCTCAACAGGGGCTGCACTTCCTAAACACAATTTAGGACACTTCCTAAGAACCCCTGTGTTTGTCAGATGATCCATGTCTGGATCCTCTGTCTGGTTCAGATGATCCAGGCCATTAGGTGGCTGTGTGCTCATCACTGTTATGGAAGCCGTCCTTGAGCCCCCAGGTTGTGTATGTTGCTGGAATCTGTCCACACCAGCAGGCCAGCCTTACTTCCCATCTCCTTTGCTGGAAAGCCTCAGTCCGGGAAAGAGCGGCTTTGCGGCCAGAAAGCCTTTCATTTTGTTTCCCAGCTTATTGTGCCGGTGTTAAATGTTTATTTTTTATCTTTTAAATGATTTTAATTTAACCAAGCAATACTTTTGCATGGTTCCAAATTCAAATTGTGCACAGTGGAATAGGCAGTGACCAGTCTTCCTCCCACCTCTTTCCCTGTCCACAACATTTTCTTTCCTGGAGCAAACGGGTGTTTGCTCCAGGAAAAGATGAGAATGGTGTTTTGAGAGATGAGAATCTTGGCCAGTGATTTTAGAAGAAAATGCAAAAAAAAGAAAAACAAGGTTTTCAGTTGAAGGTACCTCTCTTCTTCAATATGAAGACATTAACTGAATTGGTTGGATCCCCATGCAGTGGTCAGCGAAGTCCTTTGGCAACTGACAGAACAATATCTGGAGACTCAGGAGCTGGGTTTTGTTTGAAGAAACTTCCCAACAGGAGTCATGAGCAGAGGGAAACGAGTGTGGGAGAAAGGAGGGGACTCTCAGGGGGGAGCACAAAAGGAGAAAAGAAAAGCATGTCTTTGGTGAGGAAGAAAACGGAACACTGCTTCTGTTTCTTCCCTCCACCTCCTTCCCTTTCTTCCTGTGGATGGACAACTCCAGCCCACGGAGGGTGGGAGCTGAGTTTACTCTTGTTCTCCTGATGCATATTGTTTTGTCTTCACTTCTGTTGAACATCACCTTTTTATATTTTTATTATTATATATTTGGTTTCCCACAGCATCTCAAACATGCTTCTGTCACTGAGAAATGAAGGTTGTGAATTCGAAAAAAAAAAAAAATGGGAGGAGGTTGGGTAAGAGACGACGCTCTCACACAGATGAGTGCACACTGTGTTCATTTCCTGAAACACTCTCTGTTGGCACTTACGAAGCATTTGCCTCTTCTGGAGACAATTGGACTCAAGAAGGCAGAGTTGCAGGAAAACATAACTGGGGCCACACTGTAGGGCGGGCAGCGGATTGCAAGTCTCAAGCCCAGGGTCCCCCACTCCTTGCTCCAGTTGTGTGAGAAACTCATCTCCTAACTCCTGTCCAATGTCCCTCATGGGTTCTCGGTTTGGCCCCAACTCTAAACCTGAATGGTCCTTGAGCATTTCTATGAAATACCTCCACAGTGGCTACTGGAAGGGGAGTGACTTCCACGCAGTGCCTGCCTGTCTGGGTGCCCCCAGGCCTTTTGTCCTCTGAGACAGAGCTGCCTTCTTACATGCAGCCCTCTTCCGCCGTGCAGCTCACCTCGGTCTTAGCTGAGATCAACGGAGAGCAATTCAAGCAAAACCATGGTAAACTTACCAAAACAAAACAAAAACAACATAAACACTTTGGAGACCTTTCTGAGGACTTGCTCTTTTATCCTGGGGTAAACTTGAATGATTTTCAATCAATTGCTTCATCTCAGAGGGATGTTGATGGAAAATCTCCTTCTCAGGCACTGAAGAAGGGCAGAATTCTTGGTTGTTTCCTCCCTTTGTCAAGTCAGTCAGCCGACGCTTTCTCAGCATTCTCACACACAGCTTTGTTACCGGATTCGAATGAGTCTTTTTCTGAGCTACTGATAGAAAAAGTATACTGTGGAACAGTATCTTGTCTGAATTCTGCAATCCCCTCTGTATGTGTTTGAAGTCCTAGATCCCAGGAGGAGAGACAATCAAATTAGCCAAAGGTAATTTGTGAAGACTGGCCATGGGAGGTGGTGGCTAAAAGTCCTCTGGCCCCTGCTCTCTGAGCATGACCGCAGGAAGTCCTGGGCTGCACTGACTGCTGAGAAAGAACATCTCAGAGCATGGATCTCATTTCAGAAGACAGATGCTCTTCCACCCAATAACAGAAGGTAGGTAGAGGAATGGCGGGTCCATGCTGTGTCCTACAGAGCTCTCAGTTTCTGCACTTGAGGCTCTGGGCCAACGTAGAGGTGAAGACTCTTCACTTTTATCAGGAGCCATGAACTATAGGAACCTGCAAATGAGCAGAAAGGATCTGACGATTAAAGTTTCTTCTGAAGCTGTTAGAAATTCAAGTCAGTGAGTTGCTTCTCTACTAGTTTTTTATTGGCAACTCTAATTCTGCACTATGTTGCAGAGTGGGGTTCGGGGGAGCATGGAATTATTCCCTTACTATCTGCTGCTTTATCTACTGAAATTGATCAAAGCTATAACAAAAACATTTCTAGAAATTATTTGAATGTGGTAGGAAAACTGTGGGCATGGAGTCAGAAGAAAGTATCTTTTGGAGTGCTTTTTCAGGTCTAAAATTCTTTGCCAGAAATGTTCTTTAATGGAACCTCCAGACTGGGTAGGGAAACAGGGCATAGTAAAAGGCATGAGCAGGAATGAAATAAATGCAGTCCAAAGGGGGAATGCAAGACTTATGCAATCTGAGGAAACTTTGATTTAGGGTAAACCCTCCAAAGGAAAACCTTTCAGCGAGGCTATTAGCCAAGTGCATGGACTGCAGATTTGTGTTACTGAAAATTACGAGAGATGGTTTCTCAGAGGGACGGTCATGGAGGTCCCAATGAGGAGGCGTCGCCTGGCCCCAGGAAGCGCCCAGGTTCCGCGTCTCTCCACTCGCGCAGCTCCTGCGGGGCGCCCCCACGGCGGACTCCGTGTCCGCCCCGCGCACAGGCGCATCAGCCTCGAGGCGGCGGGGCTCCAGCACGCCCTCAGCGGCTCCCGGTGTCCGTTGCAGGTGGTTGGGGCACGGAGACGCGCAGCGCGCGGAAATGGCCATGACCCAACGGCCTTTGCTCTCATGGCGTCCTCCTGGTGTTACCTAAAAATAAAGCTACGTGTGATTAGAAGGTAATCACCTCCTGGTCATGCTCCCGCTGGTCATCAGTGTCCGCTGGGCGACCCCACCCTTGTGGCCACAGCGGGCCTATGGCTGCGCTTAAGGCGGGAGCGTGCCCAGCGGGGACCCTGCAGGACTCCCAGACCGCGCTGGCCTGGCCCTGAAATGAGGGAGGAGGTTTAACAATGCTGTGGGAACCCCAAAGTGTGTCTCCTCCGTGCCTCTCACATTTTGAACAATACAAGAGCTTCAGGAAAACCTCAGCAGGTGAAACTGTCATGCGGTTCAGCAAAGAAGTCGCTCCTGTCCTGGTAAAATCAGTGACGTTCTCACGGATATCCTCGTTGGGTGAGTTGTGAAGCTTGTTGACTTAATCAGAATGATCACCCAGCATGCATGTTCCAATACGCTCATTTGTCAATGATATCAGCGGCTGCAAAGTGGGAGAACAGGCCTTTAGTCGTAGTCTGTCCACTGGCAGCACAAGCTGGTTGTGGATGCAAGAGTGTGGCCAAAGTCAAGAAAAGCTTCTATGAGAATCACTTACTTATGTGCAATTTATAATAAAAAGTAGGGTATATTATTTGTAAATTGTAGGCTACACATGTATTATATCTAAAATTTACTGCACACATGTGTGTGTGTCTTGTTGGGCAGTTGGAGTGTGTGTACTTGAGAATTTAAGAAAGGCTTGTTTTGGACTTTGATGGGGTATAAGATATGTGGGGTGGTTGTGTGTATGTGAAAAATGTGTTTATATGACTTCTTAGTTTGCAATTTGATATGTATTTAACTGGTGAGAATCTAATATATATTCACATGTGTGGGTTGGTGGTGTCTGTGTGGAGATTGCAGATTAAAGACGGTCATAACCGGGCTGGGTGCGGTGGTGGCTCACACCTGTAATCCCAACACTTTGGGAGGCTGAGGCGGGCAGATCACCTGAGATAAGGAGTTCAAGACCAGACTGGCCAACATGGTAAAACCCTGTCTCTAATAAAAATACAAAAATTAGCTATGTGTGGGGGTGCACGCCTGTAGTCCAAGCTACCTGGGAGGCTGAGGCAGGAGAATCTCTTGAACTGGAGAGGTGGAGGTTGCAGTGAGCCAAGATTCAGCCACTGCACTCCAGCCTGAGCGACAGAACGAGACTCCGTCTCAAAAAAATAAAATAAATAAATAATTATTGAATGTAGGAATCAAAGAATGGGGTTTCAGGTTGGGTGCCCTTAGTTCAGTCCCTGAGAGTTTGTAACCAATAATGTTTTGTTTTTTAAAATAAGTGAAAAAAGGGAGAATAGTTGTACTGAAGGAGAAGTTAAACTATGACTTGGGCCCCCAAACAGTCTCACCTGACCCCTTTGCTGCTGTGGGACTAAAGTGTCTCATTAGAACTGGCCTTGGTCAGCTGCTTTACACCTGCCTCTATTAGCTACTGAGTAGGAAGCTTCCCCAGAAAGAGACAAGAACTCAGCACAGGTGCTCTCCATAGCTGAGGCAACCCTGGAGGGCCGGAGAGCCAAGTCTCTTCCAGCAGCACTCCCAGCAAATGGGGAAACATGTCCTTCATCAAGGAGGGATCTAGGTGGCTGAT